TCCGCAGAGCCCGCTTCCCGGGCGCCCCGCGCGCCCACGGCCTACGCCCCGCGCCCGTGACGCCAAAGGCCGAACGTGCAGGCGTGGCCGCGCAGCTGTCACTTGGAGCCCGGGGGAAGCTCCCGGAGGATCACTGGAGGGACTTGAAAGTTGTCCTCCCAGGGGCACGCGAGGGGTCACGGCTTCGCGCAGCCCTCGCAGGGCGGGTGACTTAGCTCCTAGGACCAAGCTGCGCAGGAACAGGAAAGCCCGTGTTCAGCTCCTGCTCTAGTAACGGAGATAAGACTGGCTCTGCCCGCGTCGCGTGTTCCGAGAAAAAGTTCTGCAGCACATCGCAAACGCGTGATCGTTCTGGCGGGAAACGTCCTCATCCCAAGGCAGGGGGGGCCCCACCCAGTGACTCTTGTTTCTCGTGCAGAGCAGCAGCTCCCAGCAATTTTTGGACACGACGGAGTTATTCAAGAAGAGGAGCTTTGGCTGCCGGCTTCCCGTCGTGCGAAACGGCCCACACGCAAGTGCGTCCTACGAAAGGAACCGCTTCCGTCTCACGAGGCTGGGCCGCTGCAGTGGAGTGTCCTCGAGGGTCGGCAGGCTCCACGTGAACCTTAGCCTCAGCACAGAACCCGGGAGATGGGCTCGGGACTTCAGATGTGCCGAAAAGCTGCTCCTGAAGCGACGGAGACTGGATGCTGAACGCAGAATGTGTATAAACTAATCGGAAAACGGTATGACGTACGACTCCTAGGCGTTCGCCATCAACATCTGTCACCGCAGTCCGTGCCCCAGTGCGGCTCTTCCCTGGCGAAAGAACCCCACAAAGTGCCTGGCGCCAGGGATTTAATTTAAATCCCAGATGCAAACTAAAGACTTGTCACCGATAAGAAGAACAGTTAGCACACTCCTGCTTCCAAATGGTTAACTGCCGAAACCGTCAGCGATTCAAAGCTCATTAACCCAATATTCTCCCTGCAGTTATGTTGTGTGTGTGTGTGTGTGTGTGTGTATATATATATATATATTGTTTTTTTTTTTTGAGTTGGAGTCTCACTCCTTCGCCCAGGCTGGAGTGCAGTGGCATGCTCACAGCCACCCCAGCGTCGACCTTCTGGGCTGCAGTGATCCTTCCACCTCAGCCTTCCAAGTAGTCGGAACTACAGACACGCACTACCACCCCTGGCTAATTTTTATTTTATTTTATTGTAGAGATGAGGTCTCACCAAGTTGCCGGGGCTGGTCTCGAACCCACGGGCTCAGGCAATCCACTCTCCTAGACCTCCCAAAGTGCTGGTATGACAGGCTGAGTCACCGAGCCCAGCCTTGTTAATATTTTTTTTTTTTTTTTGAAAAAGAGGGGAGTCATACTTCTTGAAGGCCTACTCTGTTCCCTGCACTGATACTCTGCATACTGCGTTTCATTTAGGTCTCATACAGCTCTTTAAGTTGGGAGATGCTGTGCTTATTTTCAAATAAAAAAGAGGCTCGAAAGGTCACACGATTAAGTGGTTGAGCCAAACTAGAGATCTGTTAATTCTGTGTTTTTACTATACCAGCTAATGCAATTAGGTTTCATCTCAAAGTCATTTGCCCTCTCCTTCAATCCACTGAGCTTTATTTCAGCGCAGTTCTCCAAATGTCCTAAGATGAGCCATAAAAATAACAAAAGCACTACACTACAAAGTTTAAATGAGACATATGGTCATGTATATTGATCTCACATCCTAAGTGCTCTTATATTTTAACATTATGACCACACAAATTAGATTCTCTTGCCATATACACTCGGCAACTATAACAATTAGAGTTAAATGCCTATTGCCCCTTCATTTTGCAGCAGAGGGGTGATACAAATATGCTCAACACCTGAGTGTTGTTTTTATAAAATTTAAATTTTTCTTTGTAAAGGTGGGATCTTGGGGCAACCCCTTCAGGTCCCTTCCCACTGTAGGAGCTTTTCTGTCCTTTCAATAAATCCTGCATTCTCCACACACAAAAAAGATGGGATCTTGCTATGTTGCCCAGGTTGGTCTCAAACTCCGGGCCTTAAGTGAGCCTCCTAGTGTTGGGATTATAGGCATGAGCTACTGTGTCCGGTCTGATGTGTGTTAAAATAGTTTTTAAAATCCTATGAACAGGGCAAAAATTCAAATGTTGGTGATCCAAGCAGAGCTCATGGGACCCACAGGCAGTCCAGTTACCCCCAGGATGTTTCTAATATTGTAGGAGTCCTGCACTTACTGTTTACTTTCCCTCATTCTCATTTACAAAAAGTAACACCAAATGTAAGCCAAAGGAGTGTGACAGAACAGCCAGTTATCTGATGAAAGGCACCGTTCAGAAAGCCAGTGTAGGATAAAGAATTAAAAAACAAAAAAGACAGCTGGAAATAACAACCATAATTTTTTCAAGAACATTTATACATCTTTTTAATTAGATTAGCTTTACAAGCAACTTGAGAGCTCTTCCATAATGAAACACTGCTTTTCAAATAACATGACTTTATCTGTATATGAATCCTGAAATTCTTTGCCTGCCATTGATAAAGGTCTGTGTTTTACAGCTGGTTAGGTGTTGAATAAAAACAGCATTATAAAGCTTTATTTTTAACCAGGATTAAACACATATAGGCCACAAGTAGTTTCAAATTTTGTTTTAAATCGAGTCCTGCTTGGTGACACGTAACAGTCCCGCTAACATGAAATGAGTAGATTTCAAATGGACATTAAAGAGATGGCTATCCTGATTTCTTGATGTTTTCACCATGATTTCCAAGAAAGTATATAAGATTTTCCCAAAAATATACAATCTAAGACCTGTCTGGCAAGCACAACCCACAGAGAGTACGATCTGATACTTTGTACAATTGTAGAGGTACACACCTGAATGACGACACCGGCTCCCCAGTTAAAAGGTGCTGCTGTACACCCTTTGACAACCAAACAAACCTCCCATCAACACAAAACAGTTTCTCCTACCCCTAAAAATGGAAGTGTTTTTGCATTGTAGCCTAACGCTGCGCACCGTAATGTAGACCAGCTGGCAGAGACAACCTGCACTCCCGGGCTGGGCTGGCAGAGGCACTTACTGTGGAGATGTTTTGCTATCATCTGGCGTGAAGGAGAGGAAGAAGTGGAGCCAAACTGAACGTGGGCAAGGAAGGACATCAACAAACCATCACGTTCTCCAAGTTCTCCTAAGTGAGATCCCAATACTGAATATCTGATCTCAGCCTAAGTCCACACTGTCAGTTTCACTAAACGATTTTTTTCATGTTTTACATGAACAATAGCAATCTTTTAATAAAAATTACTGAGCTTTCCATAGAAAAGGTCTCTAATTGAATACAAACTATACAGATGCTAAAAATGTCTCAAGTTGAAATATACAGAAAAGTTCTGCATATCCACATTTTGGCAAAGACGATCAAGGATAGAGATAGAAAAACCAAGTAGACAAGGTCTTACAACCATATGTCGTGGAACATATGGATACTACTGTTGGGCCTTGTTAAACAGAACCTAGAAAAGTGAAATCTTAGACATCCATCCTGATTCACTCTTTAAGTAACACAAGTCTGAGAGGTCTAGTGTGATTTTGTAATATTCCCTCTTTGTTTAAAAAAGTAAAAAAAAAAAAAACCAAAAACATCTGGTTCTGCACTTTTTTTTGCTTTTCCAAGCTAAACATCTTTCAGTGGTGATAAGAAGGCTGGCACCACATTTAGGGAATGCCTCAGCAACAGAGGAGTCACTTAACACAAAGTCTAGAGCAGTATGTTTAGGTCTCAATGCATATGAAATCTCCCCTTGATAATCAACAGAAACAGTTCTGATCTGCAGATCAGACAGAACACAGTTTCAGGAAGAAAACACAACAGCAAATTTGGAAGTACATTCAATCTGAGGAGAAGCAAAAGGAAGAGTCTTAGGAATGGGACGTTGTTATCTAAATCTATAGGATGCACCTGAAAGCTCAAGAAAGCCCTTTATCTTAGGAACTTGAAGCTGAGGACAACTCCAAGTTCATTTAGTGCCAGTCACCTTAGTTTTTAAAAAAAATTTAGCTGAAAAGATAAACCCTCATTACTGTGTATTTTCTCTTGTAAAACATGAACCAAACATTGTTATTGGTAGTAAATGATGACTGTTTTACTATTAGGTTTCATTATTAACAATGCCAAAAGAAAGACAGCAGTGATTTTTAAAAGTTCAAATTCGTGTAAGAAAGGACTACAAGACAATCTGATTTTTCAGCTGTAATCCAAGTGCTTCTCTTCTTATTTCAAGTAAAAAGAAAATCATCAGTCACTGGCAATAATCATTATTAAGAGGTCTTTTAGGGCAAAATTTAATAGTACAAAGAGGCTTACAAAAATAGATTGATGTTATTTTGAGGAACAATACTGTAATTCTTTTCTCAATTCAGTTTTGATAAACTGTACCTAATCATAGAAAAATTATCCCAAATTCAAACTTGATATAAAAAAAGGGAGAGATGAAATGAACTCAGCTAGATGACAGATCTGACAAAATATAAGAATGAAAAAAATTCTACATAGGGCACTTATTTCATGTCCAGATGTAAAAACCATTTTCAGTTGATAGCTTATCTTCTTCCCATAAGTAATCAGATTTGAAGTCGATCATGCAGTACAAAGTCACAGCAGTCAAAATCTTCTGTTTGATGCAACACACAAAAAGTTGTTTCTGTTTCCTTATTAAAATGTCAACTGGCTGTCTATTTTTCTTTATCCCATTTATTTGTATTCACAAGTTAACACATAGCATCAACAATTATTGTAGGTGAAGTGGGGGGTATTGCTGGTTCAAAGGCTCTATAGGACGTCTTTACTGACTGAATCAGAAGGTTTATTGAGCTCAACCCTCACACCTTTTTCACCTGCAAAGTAAAAAAAAAAAAAAAAAAAGAATTCATTTATTCATTAAGCACCAGAGAGCTTTGCTATTGCTTCCCACTGAATTCCTAACAGTATGAACACTAGTTCAACTTTTCAAACACCATCTGAAAACTACCACACTTGCAATTCCGGATGCTACCCTCTGCATTCTATTATGAGTGTGTTACTCTGAATTAGCAACCTTCAAGGGTAAAACCGTTTTCTACACAGAAAACGATTTTGTCTCTTTTTATTTTAAAAGCAATTTGGATTACTTTAAAATAGTAGAGTGATTAGTGCCAATGCAAGCATACTACTGGGCTTCTTTCACAAATAATGGCTTTAAAAATACATAAGAAATATATGAACATTCAGTTTTCATATTTTACCAAAAAAGGGTGAAGTGGGATTATCAATGGCTCTGGAAAATGCAGGTAGTCAGTGATGTGACCACCGAGTGGACTTTCAGAGGTGGAAGGCAGGGTTCCAGAAAAGACAGGTAAGTGGCCCTTCAGAGGGGACACTGAGACCCACTGCTCTAGGGGAGCCCGTCCTGGGTAGAGGAGGAGAGGAGACTGGCACAGATAGCAAAGGCTCTTCAGGCTCAGTGCAAGAGTGCTGACCTGTATATACCACCAGCAGAAATGGAATCTACGTGCCTGTCTGACTTACGCATTTTGACATTTCAATCTCCTTTGCATTGATTTTCTTCATGTCCACATTCAACATGACGGACTTGGAGTATTATTTAGAGCATGTATGTTTGAAAGGAAAGCTATTAACTTCCTCTTAAGGAGAGACTGAGAGGAAGCCAGATGGCTGTGGCCTAGAGTTATGTAGCCTGTGATTGAAAAGGATAATCACAGAAATCTTAGTTTGTATTTGAATGATTTATTCAGATTTCTTTGTCTCCAACATAGCTCATTTGGGGGCAACTTTGTTGGTTAAAGATAAAAATGAAGATGACTTAAGTCTCTTTTTAAATAAGAGAATTAAGGAATCTTACAAAAACAAGGAGTAAGTATTCATGGTGTTAAAACTATATTTGAGTTTGCTGAAAGCACCAGCTGATGGCAGGACTTTTTGTACCAGTAAACCCTGGCCCCAAATAATGTTTACCTGTTAGATATTTTACTTTAGCTCGCGCTCTCTCATCTGCATCAAAATACCAAACAGTTATTGCGTACCTAAAAGAAAATTTAGAATATGGTAAGAATGATCACACTGAGGGAAAAATGGTATGCTCATGTGATGATACATTCAAGCACCTAATGCCAAATTTATGCCTAAAATGGGCTGCTTATCAAAGGATAAATGAGCACAATAACAACTCACCTAGCAATCTCAATGCTGCAGAGCATAGCCAAGAAGCGAGAGGCTAAGATGTCATGAAGTTGATGAGTTTTTATGACTTTCTTAATACCTATTTCATCCACTTAACTCTTTTTTACAAGCCCAATGAAGATGATAAAAAGACAACAAAAGGATCGAAGAATGGCTGTCACACAGAGGAAGCACACTACCAACAGCATAAGTACTAAAAAAAGAAAGGACAAACAGATAACAGGACTTAAGGCTTCGCAGCCAGGGGTCCTTTAGTAAAAGAGGGGCCAACATTCTCAACAGCCTGAGGGCATCACTAGATTATAGCAAAGAGTAATAGATGGACGTTTACAATTATAACCTTGAGTCATCAAGGCAGAGTTAAGTTATGCTAAGACTTTTTTTAGAACTGTTATGGAAACAGTTATACTGTGTTTGATGTTTAAAATTTAGCTAATCTTCCTTTTTCTGAAAATTTCACTTATTTGTAATATCTTAGGCTGCAAGTAAATGCAGCATCTCTGGTTTATTAAATACTACAAAGCCCATAGCTATACCTTCTAATAAGAATAACAGAGAAAATGTACAGACACTATAGGAAGTGAAAGTATGCTATCAACCATCAATTCTTTAGTAGAACACAGAAATTGGTCAAAATATCTTGTGGATTCTGTCTAGCAGTTGGGGAAAGAAGCAACACTGATCAAATGAAGTGCCAGTAAGTGTGACAGAACAAAATCACGGGACATACTTTGAAGTAAAGTCAAATGCAGAACACAGTGAGAGTCTGGGAGTTTGAACAGCTGAGGAGACGGAGGTGTGCAGATTCCTCAACTGGTGAAGGACAAAGGTGAAATCTAAGTCCGGCCCCTTGACTTCCAGACTCTGCCCTTTCCAGGGCTCCGCCACCTATCACACCATGTAGCCGCTTCTCTTTTCTCAGGTGGCCTTAGTAGTGGGGAAGGAGCCCAGATTTATACTTTTATATCTCCTTTGTCCATGCCCCAAACTTTTAGTTACCTGGCAACTGGAACTCTAACATTTCTGGATCCGCTCCCCTCTGTAGCCCCAAGTCCTTATCAGAAAACAGCTGTGAACTGCCATATGTCACCCTAACTTTCCAGGCTGTTCTCCCATCGCGATTTCAAGACTCCTCCTTCTCACATGCATCTCTGCACCCTGACCTGAGTCCTCCTCACCGCAGCACTTTCCCATCTCTCCAGTGTGTGACACCAGCTTCCCACCCCAGAGCCTCAAACTCCACGCCGGCTGGCACTGATGTACTACCCCAGATGTCTGTTATTTCCTCCTCTAGAAAGGGCACAACGACACCAAACTCAAGAATGCATAAAAAGGAAGGTCTAGGAGGCAGCTTCTGGGTCAGAAAACGTTTTCAGAAACGGTGCGGGCAGAGACGGGCACGGGACGCAGGCTTCAAGAGGGCACATCCAGTGGCAGGACAGGGTCTGCCTGTGGCTTCCATTCAGGGCTTCTTTGGATCTCTGGCCACAGACGGCTTAGCCTGAGTCAGGGTGAAGGCCACGCAGCTCAAACAGGAGGAGGAGAAGGGAGAGCTGACACCCGAGTCTTCAGAGCCTCACACCATTCCTAAGCCAACTCGCCGTCCAGGGCATCTAGACCCATGTGGCTCCTCGCCAGCTCACAGCTCACAGCAGCTCCCTGGCCAGACATGGCGAGTGAACGCCAGGAGCTCACCATCAGAGCATTCCAAGTCCTTTCCACAGTGAAAGGTAAGTCTTCAAAACGATGGACTTTTTCCCCACAACGATTTTACTTTCCTAACAACATCTTCAGTTTCAATAGTCCTAACATTTTAATTTAGTCATGATAAATGCTCAAAAGGCATTTAAAAGAATGCACTGAACATATTAGGTTGCAAATACTAAGCCGCGTAGAAGAGAGTATAATGAAACAAATGCTAACTGTTAGTGAAGCTGGAGGGCCATTTTTCTCGCCTCCTCTCCCGCACATGGCGATCTGTTCTGTACTTTTCTTCCTCCCTTCTACTCTCTGGTCACCTCTTATTTTTCTACTCTGTATCCATTTTCCACATTGTCCCTCTCTGTTCTCTCTCACCATCTTTTTAAAAGCTGCCCTTTCGCTTCTGTATCTTCCTCTCCCCCAAGTGAAACACTCTCACGGAATCAAAGGAGGGACAGTAATTAAGAGCTGCACAAAGCAAAGAGACAGGGTGAGAGAGTAGTGTCTGTGCTTTCATTTCTCACCCAAACAAGGCGTGGCTGTGCAAGAAAGACACATTTAGGATGAACTATGACTCAACCTTATACACTTATTCAAACTAAAATGTTTATGAAAAGTACCTGAAGAGTAGGAAAATACTAGAAAGTTTTCAAGTTTATCCTACCAATCCCCTCCTATCCTGCCATGCTCTAAACCAATTTTCTTAAAAGGAATACTACCTGGTAGCATATGCTGGTTGTACTTCATGAGGGTTGCGACGGTCAGACCAGAAAAACAGCAGTCTATCAAATTTAGGTTCAATGTCAGCAAACTGGGCTTTGCCTTCTGGAAAAATTCGAAGTATACCTCCACTTACCTAGGAAAAGAGCCAAATATGTAAGCAGGAGTAACCAAAGAATGCTACAAGATTAAATTTAGGAGGAGAAAAAAAGACTACTTCAATGAATCAAAATTCTTAATGGAATTATTCACAAATACATCTCAATTAACAAGGTATGAAGGTGAGCTGAGATTCTAAGTGTATGCACAGATGCAAAGAAAAGTTCATTTCTTATTTTAGAAATTTTGTAACTACTTGATGAAACAGATGAATACTGTATGAGTTTAAAAGTCCTAAAATAATATCTGAAAGTTTTGAAAACTGGTAAACATTTCTTATTTATGTTAATGATTTGCATAACCTACCCTTAAAATGGATACATTCCAAGTCATCTTGATTAAATTGTTATAAATGGCTTATTATGCCAAATTGTTTACCATATTTTTTTTTTTTTTTTTTTTTTTTTGAGTTGGAGTCTCACTCTGTCTCCCAGACTGGAGTGCAGTGGCCGCTCCCGGTCACCGCAGCCTCGACCCACTGGGCTCCGGCGATCCTTCCGCCTCAGCCTTCCAAGTACCTGGAACTACAGGTGTGCACTACCACGCCCGGCTAATTTTTGATTTATTGTAGAGATGAGGTATCGCCAAGTTGCCCAGGCGGTTCTCGAACCCGCGGGCTCAGGCAATCCACTCACCTCAGCCTCCCAAAGTGTGGGATTACAAGCTGAGCCACCGAGCCTGGCTTCGTCTACCATATTTAAGGTTCAACAGACATCTCATAGTCATAAGTTTAATGCCTCTCTATTGTTTAAAGAATTCAATATATCAGTAGAAAGTATCATCTATCATCATCATCATCATTATCATAACCATAAACCTCGGCATGCGATCATTATTAGAATCCATGGCTCTCCCTTTCCAGGCTGGGTTTGACACACTGATGATTACCTGCCTATGAAACTCTATTCCATCCACAAAGGATTATTATTATTTACCTACATATATCACTCTCTGGGATTACATGAATTCATCTATTTATTCTAATGCAGACTAAGCCGATACTGGACTGGAAACTGTGGTGGGCTCTGGGTGTAGAGGAGGGAATGATGCAGACAGGCTCTGTGCTTGTGTTGTTTACAATCTAGGGGAGATAAAAGCTAGACAAAACTCGCCCAGTCAAGTAGCTATTTATTCTTGAACAACTCAACTCCTAAGCAAGTAGACTCTTAAAACTGAAAGAAACATAAATACTGATCAAGACAGCATGGAGGGTGCGCCTATACCTAGGATCTACAGCTGGAGAAAATATCTATGAGGCACATTAACAGGTAAACTGAATTCTAGCGACTCGGTACCCAACCCCCTCCAGCTTCTGCTGGTTCCAGTGTTATTCCCCCAGGCAATCATGCAAACATCTAAAGAACCTCCAGACTGGGATTGAGAATATGTCTTTTCTTTTGTCCTGCCCCCTCCCCTTTGACTGGAGTCACCTGGAATATCACAGGTGATCTGCTGAAATATTTAAAAAGAAATGGCTAGCCATCCCTGACCTCTGAATTAGGTAGCCCTCCTATGTGCCCAGAGAAACCTGCTCTGCCATTCAGCACAGCCAACTGTAATTGACAATCTACTCATCTGTATCCTCCAAGAGAGCCAAAGCTCCACCAGGCTAATTCCATTTCTCCTATATCTCCAGCATCCAGAACAATGTTTGACATATTGAACATATTCAGTGCAATCTAGCAGTGGAGGTTTTCTATTCCACATATAAAACACTAGGAACTTTTCTCTGCTTATATCCCAATCTAAAACTAATAATGACCTGGCTAAGTCATATAAAAATTGGCAGCCTGAAAAATCTAGAAGTTGGGAGTTGATAAAACATAGTTCTACCTTTCCAGCTACTCACAAAAATCTGACAAAAGTTTTAAGTGTTAACTAAAGTCATAGCCAGGAGCGGTGGCTCAAGCCTGTAATCCCAGCATTTTGGGAGGTGGAGGCGAGCAGATTGCCTGAGCTCAGGGATTTGAGACAGCCCGAGCAACATGGCGAGACCTCGTCTCTTCAATAAATCAAAAAATTAGCTGGGTGTGGTAGCGTGCACCTGTAGTTCCAGCTACTTGAAAGGCTGAGGCGGAAGGATCACCTGAGTCCAGCAGGTAGAGGCTGTGGTGGCAGTGAGCATGCTACTACCCTCCAGCCTGGGTCACAGAGTAAGACTCCAACTCAAAAAAAAAAAAAAAAAAAAAAAAACCCCCACTAAAGACATACTAATCTGTTTTGTGCCCTGGGCTCAAGGTGAATTACCAATTTCTGTATTTCAAACCATTGCAAAGCTGCAACAGAAAAAACCATGCTTATTGGCATATGCCTCAATCATCTATGTATTTAGCAGTAAACTTACCTCCACTTTGAACTTGAACTAGGACAGAGGAAACTCTTTAAATCAGTATGGTAAAGAAAGATTACTAGAGCCTTGTGAGCATATTCTAAATTTAAAACTTTTTGGGGGGTAAAATTAGGTTTTTGCACATTCAAGACTTGGGTAATTTCCATTTATGTGGTTGGGGGGAGGAAGAAAGAGGTATTTTAAAGGTTAATTGATTAAACAAAAACAAAATCACCTTTTTCACCTTGGCTACACAGGTGGGTTCACTTTGTGAAAATCCACTGAGCTGTACACTGTGTTTGCTTTGCTACTTGAGTGTTATAATTAAGATTTTCAAAAACAACCAAAAAAAAAAAAATCAGTCTACATTGTCTCCAATGTAATAATATATGACACGCTTTTAAAATAATTTAAATTTAATGAAACCCAGGATAATATTAAGAGAATATATCTAAAACAAGAGAGATGAAACATACTGTACATTCTAATCAACAACCCAATGCCATAACACCTCCACAAAAATGCAAAGAATAAAATAGCAAATAATCCATAAATTATTTATAATCTCCCACCAAAAGCCATTATAAAAATTCTTTTCAGAAGTGTTTTTATAAAAACTACTAAAAGGAAAATATTTTAACAAAAGTCACTTTTGTAAATTGGTTATATTTTGGAAAGATGCTTCAATATCTGAAAATAAGTCTATCTACTTTTAAGATCTACAAGTACTTTTTACACAGTATTTATTGCAGAACTGATATACAAACATGCACATATTTAATGTTTACAATTTCATGAATGTGGACATATGCATACTTTTGCTACGCCGTCCATTCCCATAGTCAAGGCAATAAACGTCCATCAGCTCCCAAAGTTGTGTGTCCTTTTAACTCTCTCTCCCTCTCTCTCTCCCTCTCTCTCGTGTGTGTGTGGGTCTAGAATACTGAACATGAGATCTAATCTCTTGAATGTTTAAGTACACAGCACTACATTGTTTTTGTTGTTGTTGTTCTTAATTTTTTTTTTTTTTGTAGAGACAGAGTCTCATTAAGTTGTCCAGGCTGGTCTAGAATTCCTGGCCTCAAGCAATCCTCCACCTGGGCCTCCCAAAGTGCTGGGATTACAGATATGAGCCACCATGCCCAGACATACATTGTTAATTATAGGTATTATGTTGTACGAGATATATTAGTATTTATTTTATTTTACAAAAATCCACTTCTAATACGTAAGACTGAAACAAATTTAAGAGAAGTTTTAAACTGTTTCGTATGTTAAAGACAGTCTACAGCCGGGCGCGGTGGCTCAAGTCTGTAATCCCAGCACTTTGGGAGGCAAAGGAGAGAGGACTGCATGAGCCCAGGGGTTCAAGACCAGCCTGGACAACTTGGTGAGACCTTGTCTCTACAATACAGCAAAAAAATTAGCTGGGTGTGGTAGCGCGCACCTGTAGTTCCAGCAACTTGGAAGACTGAGGCAGAAGGATCGCCGGAGCCCAGCAAATCGACACTGGGGTGGCCGTGAGCATGCCACTGTACTCCAGCCTGGGTGACAGAGTGAGACTCTGACTCAAAAAAATAATAATAAACAAACAAATAAAGACAGTCTCACCTCTGAGGAGTAAGAATTATAAGACTTGTGAGAAAAACCTGTGAGAAAATAAATACTCAATTAAATTGCATACCTTGGCATCCCAGTCTTTATTAAGATAATATATACATGTCACACATCTTCCATCTCCATTTGGATTATCAACATGACGTACATAACCTGTTCCATTGCCTGGATAACAAGCAACCATGGCCTGTAATAATAATAACAACGATTTTTAACGTCCATGTATAAATAAACAGGGAGAACATCTTAAAAATCTTAAATTTTTGGCAACTTTTACACTTAAATTCTTCTCTAATAAAAATCACATTTTATCGATAAGAAAAGGTAAAGTCATTCTACACTAACATTTACAAAGACCACAGGATAGACTGGTGAATAATCCAAGGCCTGGTGATTTCTGCTTCACAGTGATAGAAAGTGCCCACCTCCGAGATTCAGACAGCAGCACTGCTATGAACCCTTGGCTGTCACAAGCCAGATGCTGCTGCTGAAAATCCCAAAGGTCAGCAGGATTTCAAGGCCCTAGTTTCACGATCTTTAGATATACTAGTAATCAAGATCAAGTGAGTTTTTGTTCTGCTCCATAGGTTTCTCTCCTTGTTCTCACCTCAGAGCACTTACATTACCATATGGTAAGTGGACTGTCCCAGCCAAACACCCCATATGACTTCTCTGAGTGGTACCAATTCATAGGCATGATTTTCTAGGTCAGCTTCACACATTTAATGCCAGTGATTTTTTTAAAAAAAGACTAAGCAACAAATTAGCATGTGACCAACCCCTTTTCAAATCAGAAAGAAAGTTATTTTTTGCTCAGATCTCCACAAGATATGGTTCAGAAGACTGTCGGGTGTTAAGCATGAAGGTGGAAGAGAGGCCCCAAACAGCAAAAGCACAAAATGACCCACACACTCTAGGAGTGCGGTACATGATAACCAAACTCTTTTTTTTTTTTTTTTTTTTTTTTAGTCTCGGGAATTATGAGGAAAACAAAGACAAAGGTGTTCAACATTATGAGCTTGAAATCCCTTATTTCTCCATGTATTAAGTCAATCAGTATGAAGTTGTCAAACAGCAATTAAATCACTCTACCGTATTTAAGAAAATTTACAAATGCTAATTTTTAAAATTTGCATTCAACTGACTAGTGGAAAAGTAACTTAGTGGCTCCAGTTCCAACTGTGAAGCACTTTAAACCCAAATCCTTGAAAAGAAAAATCCCAGACCCCTAGACCTACTGTTCTTTATCAGAAGCAAAGTTTTTGGTGAACACTTATTTCAGTATCTGGTCTTCCTGATTCCGGACACACCTAATAAGTTCCTTCTTTCATCACTGGAGATCGGTAATAACAAGGAGAATGGCATGAACTTAGTGGGGCTTATCACAGGAACCGGATAAACAGTAAGCTGGTATTTACTGCAGTAATAAATAGCATTTGACTCTGGAATACTCAAAAACTTTAAAACTGTAGGTTTTAAATAACTTGCTTAGTTTAGTTTAGGTAAATCTCTTTTTTAAAAACAATTAAAAACTTTATGAAAACTTGTACATTTAGTTCATTACATTAATTACTATACTAAATGGACCAAAAAGGGACGGGCAAGCTATATGAATTTTAAACCTCTTTATTTGCTAAGCTTTAATGTTGTAAATAACATGTTTCATCATAAATAATTCAGACTTTATGTTTTGGGAGGTAAATTTTTCAAACCTATATGGTAGTGAAAATGAAACTAGCGCTGAAGAAAGAATACAGCAATAAGAACGAGTGCAGTATGTCTCGACATAAGCCCCTAGTTCACACGGGGCAAGAAAGGCGATTCAGATCAGAATGAGATTAAGTTTAAAGAGAGGAATATAAAAGGAAGCAGTGTGCTGAGAAAGCATTCGGACAGAAATCATGGCAGTCTTTATGCCGAAAGGAGCGTCTGAGCTAAGCTCGAGAGAAACGTATATGACCCACACACTCTAGGAGTGCGCTACATGATAACCAAACTTTTTTTTTAGTCAGGGAAAAGGCCCTCGCAAACAGAGTGAACTACATAAGGAACGTGTCAGAGACAAGAAATGCAGGAGACACCTGGTGGCAAGGAATATCGGGATGTGCTGAAGGAAAGAGACCCGGACGCGCCAGAAACTGACGGGGTGGGCGGGGCGGGGCCGGGCCGTGGGCCGATCCGAATACCTTAAGGGGACCGGCCGGTTCCAC